AAATTAAACAGAAAACCAAGTGAAACTGCAGTTTGAAGCGCAACGTTTGTCTCTATAATTTCCTTTGAATAACAAGTTAAAGATAACGTAAAAAAAATAATTTTAACATACAGAGAAATATTCTATTCTATGAAAAGTCTTAAAAAAGAAAAAGGGAGAATGACGGAAAGACAAAATTAAACAGAAAAGGACGTGAAACTGTAGTTCGAAGCGCAACGCTTGTCTCTGTAATTTCCTTTGGATAACGAGTCAAAGATAACGTTAAAAGAAAAAAGTGAGAAAAACATTAAAACCTTCAAAAAAAGAAAGGAAGGAGAACGATGGAAAGACGTAATAACGACGTGAAACTGTAGTTCGAAGCGCAACGTTTGTCTCTGTAATTTCCTTTAAATAACGAACCAAAGATAACATTAAAAACAAAAGAAAAATATTGAAACCTGAAGAAAAGCAAAAAGAGGAAGGAGAACGATGGAAAGACAAAATTAAGCAGAAAACGACGTGAAACAGCAGTTCGAAGCGCAACGTTTGTCTCTACAGTTTCCTTCGAAAAGACCGGGCTAAAGAAATGATAAAAGCGAACGGTTGCGATAATAAAATTATAACGACGTTAATCAATCTCCATTAGATCGCGCGAGTCAGTAGGGAATTATCAAGTGTCCCGACAATTTATTCATAAGTGCATTAACATTCGCAATTCACTCGTCGATAAATCGATCAAACTCCATTAAACTAACGATTGCTACCGGTTTAATTTATACAGGACACACGAACCGTTGTGTCCTGTCGCGTAAACACAAATCTTTACAGTCCGTTGCGTTCTTGTTCCTCGAGTTTGCGAATTATCAATCATCAGATTAGCTCGCGAGATTTCCCGTTAAAGACCAATCAGTTTTCGTTGATTCATCGGCTAATTTACTAATTGCCCCCCGAAACATTCGTACAATTATTCCGTTGATCGGCGATTCGTCATACGAATCAAGGGAACACTCGTTAATTTCACCTTCGATCTCTATTCTCTCTCTCTCTGGTTTCGGTGAACACACACATTCGACACGCGTTGTTTGCAAATTTTCAAAGCTCCTGGATAATTAGGAGCCTCGAAATCGAAATTTATCATTCTAGCACACCTTGTATTTGTACTGTGTTAATTATTTTGGATCACCGATCTATCGAATCGTCGAATATTAGACGAAAGGAGAGAAACGCTTTATAATCGTGGATAATTCCCGTTTCAATCGATCAAAATCGTCTGACCATTTCGAAAATATTAACCTACCTGCGAATTATTTGAAATAGCCAAATGGGATTTAAATTATGTAAAGTTCAGCTAATTGTAAGCTACATCGGTTATCGGTTATTCGACAATTCACGGTAGGAATTATTTTATAATTAGCACAGAATATCCGTAGATAAATTAATTCGGATAATTTCGAACGTATCGTAAGATACAGTAATTTGCACGGCAGTTCGGATTGAACGCGAAACGCTCTTTTTCTCTGTTCTATTTAAATTAATAGCGCGCTGTTATCGAAACTTTCGGTGTCCAAATATTCACATGTGTGCTTTACGATATTTCCGGAAGCTCGATTTCATCTAGATTACGTTTTCCCAATCTCAGAGCTTCGATGCAAAAACCATCGTTTACCTGTAATGTTTATTCACCCCGTTGCCTCTCCTGTATCGCACGCAATCCGCACGTGCTGCGCGGATTAATTCGGTATAGTCGTTGAAAGGGATATTTATTCGGTAATACCCTATTTCAAAAGTGTACTTTATGTTGTTACCATTTCTCTATCGATGATTAACCAATTACAGACGTGTGGTTAACGGTAATATTTCAACTCCGAGCGCGTAATTTACAGACGTGATTACAATTTATCGAATATCTCCTTTACTTTGCGACCATTATCGTCGCCGCGGTTAATATGTGTTAACAAACATTTGAACTTACACAGTCGATGCAATTATTTGTTAAAACGATCTCTTATCTTGTAGGAAAAATAACGAATGTTTGGGTATCAAGCTGGTATTTACAAGTCAAGCTTGAAATCTAACGTTTTTAGTAATAAATGTGACTGGGGTTGTTGCTGAGTGATTACGGTCGTTCGTCAAAATTTTGTGAATATTAGGAGGAAATATTTTTTATCAAAATTTCGTCTAACATTTCTTCGAAGAATTCTGTCAAATTTACGTCATTTTCCTATCGCTACATTTCTTACTATACAGTGTCTCAGATATAAAAATATCGTATCTGTTAACTATACGTAAAAGTAGATAAAATTGCCTAAGAAATTTAAAAATTTCTCATAAAAACTTCATCTAACACTTGTTCCAAGAATTCTCTCAATTAAATCAAAGCCAATTTATGTAATTTTCCTGTCAATATGTATTTGTTGCTACACAAAAACTTGTTCGTATCTATCAACTGTACGTAGAAGTGAATAAAATCGTAGAAGAAACTAAAAAATTTCATCAACACTTTTTCCAATGATTCTCTCAATTAAATGCAAAGCCCATTTATGCAACTTTCCCATCACTCTATTTGTTTCTGCAAAGTGTCACGAAAATAAAGCTAAATATTTTCGTATCCATCAACTGTACCCAGAAGTGGATAAAATCGTCCAAGAAACATTGTAAATAATTGCAAAAATCGAGAATCGCGGTAATTCAGGCTGCAAAGACTCGTCGATCAGATAACCGTCGTAACAAAGGGAATCCTCACCGATGAAAACAATCTGCCTTTTTCGAGCCGGTTCTTATCGAACACTTTAAATATCCAAGCAGCTTCCCGATTCAACAGCTCTGCAGTCCAATCGATAATTCCCGCGAGTTATTCGGTTAGACGTACTTCCTACTCCGCTATTACCATCCAATTAATGTCCGACAAACATAATTGCTCGCGAGATTCTTATCCGGCTGTGGTCGTCGGCTATCGCGATCAATCGACCAAGAACACAGAACCACAATCGTTTTCAAATCGACAGCTATAGCGGAGACCGCAAGTATTGGTCGGTCAAGACCATTAACGAGGGTAAACTGTAGCATGTTGCAGAAAGACGAGCAAGAGAGCTCTTGTTGCGTTAGAAGAGAAACGACGATCATTATGTTGTACAATTTAGATTATTATTCGAATTTGTTTGGATGAAACGAAATTTTGTTGGTATGGAAATTTGTGGATTACGTTTATTAAATGGAGTATTTGTGATAATTTCTGCGATCTCGAAAAATTTTAATTAGTCTGGTCTTTTCTGGTGTGCGGCACAGTTTTGAATTAAGTCAAAGGTAATTATTGTTGGAGGGAAGTTTTGGTTTAGGTTAATATTAAAATTTGTAGATTACGTTTGCTGAGATTTTTAGTATTAAATGAGCCGTTCAGTGCACAAATCGATTAACTCCATAAAATGAGAAGTCGAGAAATTATTATAAATATAAAAAGTTATGACTATACCAAGTGCTTTGACACTTAAATTTAAGATTTTTCAAAAAGTGGAGTTAATCGATTTGTGCACTGAGCGGCTCAAATGGAATAGTATTTGTGATAATTTCTGCGATCTCGAAAAATTTTAATTAGTCTGGTCTTCTGGTATGTGGCACAGTTTTGAATTAGGTTAAGGGTAATTATTGCTCGAAAGAAGTTTTGGCTTAGATTGTTATTGAAATTTGTAAATTACGTTTGTACAGAAAGGAATATTTGTTTTCGGAGAGAAATTTAATTTCTGTGATCTGGAGAAATTTTAATTAACCTGGTTTTTTGATATGTGACACAGTTTTGAATTAGGTCAAGGCCAACAATTATTTCGGAGAAGTTTTGGTTCAGATTGTTATTAAAATTTGTACATTACGTTTACTCAGATTTTTGATATCAAATGGAATATTTATTTGTGAAACAGAATTTAATTTCTGTGATCTCCAAGTATTTTAATTAACCTGGTTTTTGTATTATATATCGCAAAACGGTGGACTTAAATCATCGCTGGAGTAATAATGCAAAACACGCGAAGCAAGAAAATTCCAAGTTTATTACAGTTTTTTAGGGAACGAACCTGAAGCCAGAAAGTTGAAAATTAATAAAACAGAAGCGTTTCGAAGTTATAAGTAACTTTCCTTCCTGTTGCGATTTACTTCAGTGTACGATGGAAAATATTAACTTCTGCCGTTTTCAATAGGATTTTCCTTGATTCTTCGATAAAACTTGCTCACTAAACATTACGCCATTGATCGATTCATTTATCCGAGGTATCTACAACTGTCTTCAACAATCTTATCTTGAATTTATTACTGTGAGAATTTTTTAAATTCTGAACAATCATTTGTGTGCTAAAAATTTGAAAAATTTTATCGCGAATTTACATAAAATAACAGGAAAAACGGAAAAGGGTGATAATCTAAAAATATTTAATTTAAAAATTTTACAATAGTTTACACTGCGATTACTGTTATAAACCATGGTCTACTAGTAACCTAAACCATTAAGAATCCAAAAACAATAAAAATTTCCACTTCTCTCATGAAAGGTATAACGGTAAAGTTTTTAAATTGACCAATTGAGAATAACTCAACTAATGCAAACTCCATCCTCAAAACCCCCACTGGGGTCTCTGAGAGAAAAAAATAAGATTTCAGCACAGCTTCCACTATCTCTACACTTACCTCAAAAAATCAGTGTTACACTCTTAAAACATACATCCTCAAAAAATAAATACTTCCCTTATACATACACATATAAATTTTCTAATTCAGATCAATATTTCCAACGAACCTTGAAATTTGATTAAAAAAACGTAAGCTCCCTCTCATTCCACAACTCTTCTCTATTTTACTTTTTACCAAGTCGCTACAGCATTTCCTCGAATTTCCATTCGAATATTTTTCCCATTCGCCACGAACTGATCGGACGACCCAATATAATAATTCGCAACCGGTTCGTTATACACTGTACAAGTGCCAACAGAGAAGTGGAATAATAGGGAGCGTTTAATAGCTGCAATTTGCACACCTACCCCGTCCAAAGGACGAATTCAATTCCTTCACCGCGGTGAGACGTCATTGCCATCGCCGCTGATTCGATCAGGGCCCAGGGTGAGTCGCAGTTATAGTCGCCGAATTCTCCAGCCGTCTTCCGGCCGCTGTTCACGCTGTTCCTCGTGTTCCAGCACACTGAAAGCACAGGGAACGTCTAAACTGAGACAGAGCGACAAACAGAGAGAGAGAGAGAGAGAGAGAGAGAGAGAGAGACACACAGAGAGAGAGAGAGAGAGAGAGAGAGAGAGAGAGAGAGAGAGAGAGAGAAGGGGATGGTTTCAGGAATAAAACGAAAGAAAAGACAGGAACGAGAAAACGAGCACGTGGGAAGGTGGATGAGCATTAAGGGAACAGCGGAACGGACGGTCACGTATTGCCTCGCTAACGTCCAAATGACACGGAGTCGGGCCTAGCTTGGTACTCTGTATGGGACGCAATTTCAGGTAGCGCTATTTCATGCAAACCCCGTGCCAGCCAGACACGCCAGGTACTTTAAAACGATCGGTAAATAGCGGCAACAACGGGCAAGATATAGGCTTTGGGAATAGGGGATGGAAGCTGAATACAACCACGCTATTCCTAAAACGCTTGCCCAAACTTTCGGAGCTTATTGCACAGTGGTTGCATTCACCGGGGCTGAAATTTTCTGCGTGAACGTGTTGCAAACGAGAGTTTATTTTATTGCTGAAGAATTAATGTTGTAGGAGTAATTGGTTGTGAAAATGAAGAGTGGTTTGGGTGAGATTTGTGGATAGGAGAAATTAGGTGGGGATTTGAAATGTAATTCTAAAATGAGGAATTAATATTAGGCGAGTAACTGATTGAAAGAGCGAGTAGTGTTTTGAAAAAAGGAAATGAAGAAAAGAAAAAAGAAACCTACCATAAAATAGCTAAATAATTCTCATACATTAATCGTCACGTTGGTGTAATAGAGCATAACTGTAGCACCACTGACATTTTTCAGATTTTTGAACTTTGAAAGAATAATTGGACAAAGTTAATTGAATTTGCCTGTGTATATATCCAGATGAAACGGAGAAATATTTCAGTATCGGTGGAAAATTATAGCACCACCTTCATGCATTTCATGGGTGAAGTAAATTTCTGTATTTTCATTGTTCGATCAGAATGTTATTGTTTTTGTATAAGTTAGTATATTATACTACCAACGTATAACGTGGGACACGTTGGCAGCGCAAGTGTGTTGGGTCTTTGTTGATCGTCAAGTCAAGCTGCCATTCGTCGCGTCACCAGAAAGGATGGGTGACCGCCGTATTGTGTGTTATCGGTTATCGTTTTTTCTCGGGGTTTGAAATGTTTGTAGGCGTTATTCCTCTCTCCATTTGATACTCTACTATAATTAAAATGCGCTTAAATTATAAAACGACTAAACTTTCTAAAAATATTAAACACTTCAGTTCTTTCGCGATTTAGAAACAAGTGAAAAAATATGTACACTGAAATAATAATTTCTTCAAATGTAATTTCTTATTATCCTATTTCACGTAATACTCGAAGTTATTCCTTAAAATAGCAAAACTCCTGAAAATTGTAGCAGCGCTGTAGTAGTTGTTATACTCCGCAGTGTATGTGGACGCAGCGTGAACAATCTCCTCTCGCGACAATTTTCAGAATATCCACAAAGCCCGTTGGCGGGCCGAACGTTTCAGAAACACAACGCTCAGCTCTCTCTGAACAAGCCTCCGTGTGCGTTGGCGTTAGAAAAAAGAACGAAAAACAAGGAGGAGAAGCTGACAGAAAAGAAGAAAAAGAAAATACGTGTACGTTCGAAATAAAACGGAGCTACTTACTGCTTGCCGCGTTTCCCTGGGTGGAATACTTCGGGTCATAGTGGATGTCGGTAATGTGCCAGAAATACCCTGGAAGCAAAGAGAAAACGGGGTCGTCGCGCCTTCTGCGTTTCGGCCTCCATTTGCATACGTCCCGTCGCATTTGCATTCGCCGTTTCTTTTCCTACTATTTCCGCGTGTCTCTCTCTACGTAACGTTGCGGGCGGGACGGCGACGGCCTCGCAAAATCACGAATCCGACGCAAGATGGAAAGACGCGATTTCGAGCCGACTCTCGATCCCCGTACCGCAGGATGAATTCGCATTTTCCACCATGTCGGATCGAATCGCGGCGAACTGAATATCTCTTTGGATGGTCTAACACGGATTGTTTTAAATTAACTGCACGGTCGATTTTCTCGGAGGAGGCTGGAGCAAGAGTAATTAGAAGCGACGATATATCGTCGAGATTAAAGTTATCAAGATGAATGAAAGGCGCAGCCGCGTAGTGGAGTAGCTGTATGAAAAAGTTGGCGAAAATGATTTTGCTAGTTTTGGTAGAGCGAAATGCGCTTAGAAGTAACGAATTTGATACAATTTAATAATTCTTTATTTTTCACTAAACTTAATTTTCGTGTGATTCTATTTTAAATCTCGAACTTACACAATGTGCTAATATTTCATTAATAAGCTCATAATTTGCAAAGTTACTCTCGTGTAAATTAAATTTTCTGCATCTTTAGCAATAAACAAAAATTAACTCAGTCTCGAGTACAAATTTTCCATATTAATAATCGAATGATATCTTCTCGAATAAAGAATTCCTGGTTAATAATATTTCATTAAGAAGCTCATAATTTGCAAAGTTACTCTCGTGTAAATTAAATTTTCTGTGTCTCTAACAATAAAAAAAGAAATCCAACAATTATATCTATTTCTAAAAAAAAAATTAACACACGTTTGTCTAAAATTTTCTACATTAATAATCGAACGATATCTTCTCGAATAAAAAATTCCTTGTCAAATATTCTGTCGATCGAACTATTTACCAGAAAGCCCCGTGCTTCGGCAAATATTTCAAGTAACTTCAACAGAAATGAAATATTTCGCGAAACCCAGAGTGAACCGAACGATTTAGCCGATTTTAAAGTAGTCGTTAGAACCAGTTGAAAACTTGACGCAAGGAAAGTTCACTGTCGGAATTGGGCCAAGAAATTTTCGTCAACCCGATAACTTTATTACAACGTTTTCGTTAGCAGCCCTCCTGTGTCAGCAGTGTTAACTCCGTTCATAATTAAGCGTAACAAAGGGCGGAACGTTAACGTACGACTGTCGAATAAATTCTCGTGCGACCGCACTCAAAGAACATCGACCCACATTCGACGACGAAAGTTTCGTCTGTTTTAATAATTCACCCGGTCATGAACGTTCTGTGCAACGCGAAATAACGCGTACACAATGCAGATGTACGTGTAACGCAGACTTTAGGTTAGAATGACGCGTTCGCGGGCTCAAACACACGTATACGGTATTTGCGAAAAGTATTAGGCACCTTTATTATTATGAGTTATTGTAAAAATTATTTTTTTTAAATGTTTCTATTATTCGTCATACTTCGTCGGCTGGTTCAAAGGGATTTAAAAATATTCGATAAGGTTTATAGTGGATCCTAAAATAATTCAGCGATCTATAGGCTACATTTTCTGATTTTTTTTAAAAGTCACAGTCTGCTGTTAACTTGACAGTTTTGGTAACTTTGCTGTTGATATTTTGAAAGTTAGAAACGTTTTTCTTGAATTTGACGTTCATCAACGGAAGTTCATTCTTTTTTTTTTAAGGGTGAAAGTTGGAAAGCAATTGCTGTGATTGTCAAATGTTGGCAAAGGGTGGCTCAACTAAATATCGACAAAATTAATAAGAAATGATTGCTTTCACGTTTTAGTACTTTGATTTCCTTCGAATTCAAAAATATTTTTAAATACAGGTAGCTCCCGCCTTTACGAATTAATTGATACCTGGCGACCGTTCGTAAATCGGGAAAATAAAAATTAGTAAAGACAAAAATTCGCGAAGATAGAAATTCGCAAAGATTAAGATTCACAAAGACAAAAATTCGCGAAGATAAAAATTCGTAAAAACAAAAATTCGTAAAGACAAAAATTCGCGAAGATAGAAGTTCGCAAAGATGAAAATTCGCAAACATAAAAATTCGTAAAAACAAAAATTCGTAAAGTGAGAATTACCCGTGAATCACATTCTACGGGATGCCCAATACTTTCGTCCAAACCTGTACACACACACCCTTATTTACCTATTTTCCCTTGTACCGCGCACAGCCACGAGAGCAGCATCAGATAGATGCGGATCATCTTTCCAGAGTTGGAGCTGTAATCAGGCAAGTGACTTGCTTAAAAAGTCGGTCAAAGTCGATTATAGAGAGAGGGTGATGGGATCTGACGACAGGAAGCCACGGGAACGATCCGTGACACCGGTAATTCCGTTGTCGACGAAATCCCTAAATTCGGATTAACATAATTTTGCGCGGTGGAAGTTCTCCGGTGTTACCGGTCGCTGTCTTATGAAATTTCATGAATTCAGGAGAGGCCCGATCTCACTCTCTCTCTCTCTCTCTCTTTCTTCCCTCCTCCGTCACGCTGCGAACAACGTCAGCTTTCAATTTTAATCTCGAATTTAATTTCGAAGGCTGTTGAGAACGATGCATCTTGTAAAAAGGCAGCGACGCGGAAACACGCATCATAAAACACTTTACAAGGCTCTTTCGACTGCAACGAGAGACCTCGTAAAAACGTCGACAAACCAATAACCGCTGCTCGTGGATCGTTTGACAACATAACAAAGAGCTGACGCGATGCTTGAAGCGCATAAATACGCAACGCTCGGTACGACGACGTGCTCTGACGTTCAACGTGAACCGGACTTTTCGAGGGTTCAACGAATAATTAACCCCCCTTTTTTGTTTTCGAGCCTCGATGAACGATTTTTTATGCAGTTTCGTACAATGACAGCTTTCAGGATCATCGCCGGCGAATCTGATAGGTTCTTTTGTTTTTTTGCAACAAGTTAATTATACAGAGAGCGCTTTTTTTTCGAATGAAATGCTTGCGTGCATGCAAATTTCCTTTTCGTTCCATTGAAATTGTTACCTTTTTTCTTTTATTCTTCATGTTGCGGTAAATGAATTTAGGAGATTGTACCTTCTCACGGGCTTTTTCAGTTGCTACATTAGAAAAATACTGTACTCTGATAAATTGTACGATTTTTCATTTGTTACTTTAGATTACGAGCATTTAAACTTCGTAACATAAAATAAGTACTATTTTTAACTAATTTGTGATATAAAGTTTTGTGCTATCAAGCTTTGGAGCTGTAATAATTCGACTGTTTTACAATAAAAATTACGGAACTTTTAGTTTTCATAGATTTGCTGTATTTTGTATCTGTAATAATTTTCAAGAGATAAGAAAACAAATTTGAAAAAAGCTCATTATGAATATTACGTTTCTTATTATTACTAAAAATTACGAGAAATAAGTAATACCTGTTTCGCCCGTTACTCTGATTGCAAGAAATATCCGCAAACATTTCACCAGGTGTTTCATTTCAAGCGAGATACGTTAAAACATACAGTATATCTTATTCGTCGAAACGTTAAAAGGGAAGGATATTATTCCCCTGTTAAATATCGTCCTTCGTTCCCAGCGATAAAAATTGAATCCGTTTAAAAAGCCAGTGTCCAAGCTTTTTCTGGCGATAGAGCAACTTCGTTTTAAGTCCTGATATAAACCATTATCACAGAATGGCGTTAATTATTCAAGGAATATTTGAGGAGGAAGGAAGCTTTTTCGTGCTGATAATTTGATGCTCGTCAATATTTAACGTCTCGATGAATACTTGAAGCCCGGTGAAAATGTTAAGTGATCGCTCGGAATCTCCTTTTATTTGTCGGCTATTATTCTTTCACGAGAGCGATTCCGCCCGTGGGGCGAACGTAACGAAGCTTTCGAGCTTTCGTGACCGCGTGCCGCCTTTTTATTTCAAATTTTCACCCTCGATGGATTCCAACATTAAAGCCAAGATAATCACGAGCGATCATCTACGTTTACCTTCCCTCACTCGCTATAACTTCTGGCTAATAAACTTCGTCTATCCTTTTTCTAGCTCGCCTTGCCACACTCTCTCATTCTCTTTCTTTCTCTCTCTCTCTGTTTTTGTTGTTTTGTGTATCGCTCGAAACGCGAACGGAAACTAACAATAAGCTTAACTATTTCACGGGTTACAACGGATTGGAAATACCTTTTGTTTGTATATTCTAGCGAATTATTGGCTTGCTAACGAATTTTGTTCGCGTTGATAGGATTATAGGGTAGCAACGGAATTGTAACTTTTGTATTCAGATATCAAGGCTCCTGATAAATGTGAAGCAATTGTTTGTTGCGAGAGCTGTTACGAATGGATAATGAAGAATATTAAACGGTGTATGGATCCTGATGAATGTAGGTAAAAAATTTTCTTTTTGTTAATTGTTGTATGTTCTCAGAGTTATTAAAAATGGATAATGAAAAATATGAAATTCTGTAAACTTATTGTCTTTTGTTTCAATCACTATTTTTGTTCTCAGAGTTATCAAAAATGGATAATGAAAAATCTTAAATTCCATACTTTGCTATTTTATTTATACATCCTAATACAATCACGAAACAAATGTGATATTCGGTAATTAATTGTATAGAAATCGGTGCTTTGTGAATAGTAAAAAGATTCCTAAACATAATAGAACACTTGTCGCGTTCATTTTTCGTTATTCCTAGAAATTGCAAAAAGAAATTAGCAAAATTTTGCTATTAATTCGCGCGAGGAAATGAATTGTTCATCGAGATCGACAGAACCGGCACACAACCCGCTTATAAAATATTTATAAGCCCCCTTGTCATTTCACGTTAAAATGAAATTGTAGTCAATAACGGGAAAAAAAAACTGCCCCGCTTATCTGCCGCCTAAGTAGGTTGATTAAGGTTACTCATGAAATTAACTCATTAGCCTTTAGTCACGAAGTGTCACATAAATTTCTAGGTGAACATGTTCATGCTTTCTGATAAGGGTCCGGCGCAACGTTGTAAAATGTTGAAAGTTAAGGTGAACCTTATTAACGTTTAATTCGTTCCCTCTTATCGAACGTTCGATAGGTGTTACGAGAAGTTTTTTTTTTTTTTCAGTAAACCGGCTTAGATACCGGTGTCACGTTAAATACAACAATTTCGCCAACATACGGAACGCGTTATAATTGTAATTCCACGGGGGAGAATGTTGAATTCGAGAAGAAAAACTCGGTTGAAATGCATCTCTCGCGTACACTGGGAACGTACCGTAAATTATAATTATCTATTAAAATTGATACCGCGATATCAGATCACTGCTGACCTACATATTACGTTTAAATGAATAATATCCGTTTACTCGGGAACAAAGTATCGTCGTTCACGCTTGTGAATAAAATTAACGGTAATCTCTGTTCTCAGACGGAGATTTCTCCCATAATTTCATTCCTACTCGTAATGGAATCCGGTTAATGATAGTAAACGGTGACCAAAAAGGAAAGAAAAAAGAAGAAATTCGTGTCTGTACGCTACTTGTGCCGGTTTGAAAGGAACGGCAGAAAGCTTTAATAAACATGAGTCCACAGAGCCCTTTGTTTTCAAGTTACCTTACATTATGGCGTTCTTTCATACCAGGTATTCATAGTGGACTCCATTATTTGCTGAACGCACGTCGGTGTATTTTGCACGGGTGAAATTTCATTGATAAATCGTTTCTTTCACGTTCGCTCCATATTAGAAATTGCGAAATTAATTGCCATTAATATTCGCATTTGAAATGTTACTTCGAAAACGTTCTTTCGCGGTGTAATAAAATATATCAAACGAAAATGCGCGACATCTGTTATTTTCCATCGAATTTTTTTTGTCCTTTTTTCGAGATAATGAAATTTTATCCACGCGTAACGATAACGAAGAATTATTCCACGCCATTGTACAACAAATGAATATCACGAAAAGTTAATTTATTAATATTAATTCGAAGGACAGGAGAAGCGAGAAATTGGTTTACTAGAAAATTCATTTCGCTGAAAATTCCACCACGTCAATTCTACCGAATATTTCAAAAGCTATCGAATTAAGGAAGGTATATGGAAAAATTCGAATTAAAGCAATCGCCGGCTAGATTTTCCCTTCCCCTTTTGATATCCTCCTGCCTTGGAAAACGCGTTTCGAGTGAATGGAAAATCTGTTGCAAACGAGGAAGAACGGCGACGCGGCGGCAAATTGCTTCTGTCCCTGGAACTCTGTTCATCTGGTGCAGAGTCATTCAGAAACAGCGATCCCTTAATTGTTTCGAACGTCGTATTTACACGCGTTCTCTCTCTCTCTCCCTTTGCTGGAAACTCTCGAAAGTAAACTCGACGAACACGCGTGTGGCCCCCGCTCGAATCGAATTCGCTTGAGAAGGTTTACTTGCCCCGTGGCTGTTCTGGCAAACTTTCACGGGCGTATAAAATACGTACGGATTTAATTTCGCTTCCGGCTTGACATGTATCGAATCACCGGCATACTTCTTCTACCTTCAGCCGCGCCGCACCTTTCGCAGAGTTTGTCTCGGGGCCGGTATCGAAGCCGACCAGTTCAGGAAACTAGAAACGACCAAGCAGATTTGATCGTGCCCCAGGGAGTGTCATTATAACCGGCTTCGTGACTATCTCCGCTCTCATGTAGCCGCGATACATTAAGCAGTAGCCCAGATATGAAGCACGCATCGCGAACAATTAATGCTCGGTTCGTTTCTTCTTATTCTTAATTCTTCTTCTTCTACGTTTTCTTGTTCCGCGAGTTGATTCGTTTTTCACGTGGACACTGTGTATTTTGGTGGAAGAAATGTGTTCTTTTCGTCGCAGGACACAGACGACCAACCAGGCTTGGTATTTTTGAGGGCTTCTTCTAATTTCGATTCTTTCGTGTTTTACTTTTCCTTTCGAAGCGATGTCGAGGACCGGATATAGTGTTTTATGGACGCAGAAAAGCTCGATGCTTCAAGTCACACGCCTTCCTGGTCCTGTACATTTTTTTTTGAATAGCAATTGATGTGTTTTGTAAAGCCACTCTACACATACACACGCACAGATCCAGTTCCAAAGTAGTAATAATAATGTAGGAATCGACGGAAAAATTTTGACGGACCCAACCGGGAATCGAACCCGGGACCTTCGGCTTAGCAAGCCGAGGCTTTGCGCGCTACGCCAACTATTGTTATTATTAACTTTATTATTTACTTAAATGTAGTACATATTGTATTTAATTATGTTATATAGAATA